TAGATTGATACCATATGCCATAGTCTGTTGTTCCTTGTAGGTGTATCGTATCCGTTTTGCTGTTCCATTGTGAACTTGAAAATGCGTGAATCTTCAAAGTAGGCTAGCTGCAAACGTTATGTCTGACCTTGTAGCTATGAGAAAGAATAAAATTTCAATAAGATTTTGAAATTACAAGTTATTTGCTTTTGGAGTACCGTTATCCTTATTTAGCCCTCGTTTGAGCTCAAATTTTAACAAAAAAATGAGTTTTATAATAGTGAGTTTTTGGAGATTATGTGGTTAAAAAATATTTTATTTAAAAATGTGTTGTTGAAAAAATGAGTTTTTGACAATGAAGGTGAAACGGGGGCTTATTATGGCGATGGAAGCATTCGAGATAATTCATATTTTTCTATTATTTCATTAATTAATTTTTCTTAATACCTAACGTCGTCTTGGGAGTTTTTTTTCACCGATTTCGAACGGCACCGTTTATGAAAAGTTGAAAAAATTGGTGTTTGCGAGTTTTTTTGGCATCGATTTTGGGTGATTTAAAAACCACTCAAAATCGATATAGTGTAATTTTGACCGATTCTCTCAACCAATTAAATCGACGGGTTTTGACAATTTCTCATATTCTCTTCTAATTTTACTCTTTATAAAAAAATTATTTTTAACCAACATATTTTTTTCAAAACTAATTTATAAATAAAAATATATTAACTAAAAATTATTTATATAAGCTAAAAGTTTAAATTATTATCAAAAAATAGTTATATGTAAAATATTACTTATAAGGTAAAGAAATTAAATTATAATTAAAAAAAATTATTTAAAAAAAAATTTATAAAATAAAAATACTACTAATAAGACAAAAATTCGTTAATAAAATATAAAAAATTACTTTTAAGTATAAAATTCACTTAAAATTATTTAGAAGTATAAAATTCACTTATAAGTAAAAACTATTAACTTAAAATTTTAAGTAAATATTTAATTTTATTTAATCTTTAAGTTTAATATTAACTTATATGTAAAAAAATTATTTATAAATAAAATATCGCTTATGGTAAAAATATCTCGTATAAGAAGCTATAAACTGAAAATTTTATTAAGGGACATATATGTAATATGATTCTTTTAAAAAACTTTCAAAATCGATGGATGATAAACTTTCAAGAATGGGTTCGACAGTTTTAAAAATAGCTACTAAACCACTCAAAATCAATATTTTAAAAAACGTTCGTAACCGGTACGTCGAAAGTAGAAACTCCCAAATAGACCTTAAGGAAATCTTTGCTCTAAGCATGTTTGATCCCAATTAATTTCAAAATACATTTTTCTTTATCTTCTTTTCAACTACACATTCTTCAATAAAATAATATTACACGCAAATTCAAAATTTTTTCTTATTTTTTAATCACACATTGTCCATTAAATTACTATTTCAAAATACATTTTGACAAAAGAATGGAGTTCAAACATATCCTTAAGGGGTACTTAAATAAATACCATATATTTTGGGGTAATTTTGAAAAAACATGATAAAGTTGGTTTAAATGGTAATAAGGTATATTTAAACGTAGAAAATACGCTCAAATCTAAAATCACGACTACCACACAAAACCAGCCTCCAGACTGGAAAATCAAGGAAATTGGAAGAAAAAGAAGAAATATTCCACAAATTCGTTCATTATTCAAAAATTTGAAAAGGATCAAGGCTAGTTCAACATTGAAAGCTCTTAAAAAAAATTGAGAAAATCTTCTTGTAATACACAAACAAAATTACAGGTTGTTTTTATGTTTTTAGCTCATTGTTTAATTAGTTCCTCAATTTTATTGTTTTATGATTGTTTAGTATTCTTTATGCATAGATTATGAAGTAACAATCGTAATTATCAATTTTCAACTAAATAATTAACATTTATGAAGTTTCTTTTTGCTGATTTTGTTATTGTGATTGGAAATATGTTTGATAATAACATTGTTGAACTTCATAAGAAATGGATTGTGTCAATACATATGAAAAATTAGCTTTGAATCAATTAAATAATTGATGCATGCAAGGTGTTTGACAAAATAAGAATGTGAATTATGTCACTTTTCAAAAAAAAAAAAAAAAGTTACACTATATCATTGGAGTAATTAACTAGATGCATGTGTGTGCATTTTTGGAAATTTGAACATATCAGTTCAAGCCCTGTTTTATGGTAATACATATGAAAAAGAAAATTTTGAATCAATTAATTCATTAATGCGTGCAAGGTGTTTGACAAAATGAGAATGTGAATTCTGTCACTTT